TCAGTATCTAACTCTATCTCAGCCTTCATTAAAAATGAAGCTAACTGACTCCCCTCTGCTCATCCAGCTGCAGGAATGCAGTCAATCCAGTGGACCCAAGGCATTCTAGTCCTGTTCTAAGCAGTCACTAATTACGGATCCCCATCATCCTATTCAACCCCCCTCAATTCACTGTGTTCCCACTCTTGAGCCCCCCATCTTCTTTTCAGCTTATGATCTTCATATCATATGTACACAAATGAAAGGGTTGACCACTTAATATTTTATGTTTTTCTAGCAATAGTAAAATATGAAGTCAAAATACATCCTTTCCAGCTATGATCTTCATGTGAAGAGCATACGTACAAATGAAAGGGTTGACCATCTAATACTTTATGTTTATCCAGCAGTAGTAAAATATGAATTCAAAGAAAAACAAGTTTACTAAGGTCTAGGTAAATATTAGAAATGTTTATGGAGGAGGGAGGACTTTGTGTTAGATACACCTGATTTATATATACCTTCATTACAGAATTTACATATTTCACTACATATGTTACTTTTTCTGCATTTCTTATATCTTCTTCTCTGCTGTCCAGATGCCTAGATTAGAGATGAATAGTTTGGGAAGGTAAAGTTCTGTTTCTTTTTGTTTCTGTATTTCTCTTCATCTGTCATAGTGCTTGGAACAGAGTTGGTGCTCAAAACATGTTTGTTTGTTTGTTGGTTTTGGTTTTTTAATTAAGATTGTGTACAATTTGGGCAAAAACAGGAGAAAGAAATCCCCACATCCTTAGTTTCTTCTACTGACAATTAGGCATGTTACTTAGAGGCTTCCCCAGAGCATGCCCATGGGAAGTTTTCCCTTTCACTTCTAATACCTCATCATTATTCATTAAGCTTGGAATTTAGCTTATGCTGAAGTGTACTACCTAATTTCTCTTGGCTACACAGTTAACTGAGTTGTCTTCTGTTATTCCTCTAGTAGAGGTACTCATTAGAAACAGTAATTTAATAACTGTAATTTCTTTCCTTAAAAACACTTGAGTAGCAGACTCCACTCCTTCCAGGTCATTTGCACCACACCTTGCTGACCAGGATCTCCATTGCAAAAGAATGTTGTATGGTAGTACTTAAGATTCCATAATAGAAATTGAATCTCTAGCCTAGAGCAATGGATTGTTCATAATACTGGAAAACTGATGACATGGTTGATTCCTTGACAGTTTCCATGTATTTGCCCCTAAACTTGTTCTCTAACATTTAAAAGGACATGCTCTTTTCAATCTGTGAATATTATATTGGAGAATACATAGAAAACTTCAGATTATATTTACATTATAATACAGTGGTAAAAGCAATGGTTTTTGAGTTGGATCAATTGGTGTTTGAATGCTACTCTGCCACATAATAATTCTATGACCTTAAAAATTGTGGTTTAACCTCTCCAAGAAAACCTCACAGATAAAATGAAGTTAAGTACTTTGTGTTTACAAATATTTACTAGCACTTTTGCTGCTTTTATTATTGCCTCAGTTTCCTTATCTCTAAAATAAGGATAATTTTATCTCCTCAGATATTTGTAATGGTTTTTAAATATGATTGTATATGATGTGGAGATATGGTAAATATTTAATAAATAGTGTTTTTTTATGTTAAAGTTTAGGTTATTTCAAGTTTGGTTTTTTTTGGTGTTTTTTTTGTTTGTATGGTTTTTTGTTTGTTTTTTCTTTTCTGGTCCTAGTTATTTTAAATATAACTGACTTATCTATAAAAACAGGTGATATAGGCATAGCATGATATTAGCTTTAATACTCTTTTCAATACCCAAAGTCATCTTCTGTTGGCACCTTGTTTCATACTTAGTTGGCTCTATGATATGTCTTCCATATCTTACCCTCAATTATTTTTATATTCTTTTTTCTTATTATCCTCTTGGCTCCATGGAAGGACCAAGGCTCCTTTTTTATTTGTTCCTTAAACTCTTTTTCACAAATTATCATGAACATTCTTTCATCTTCTTCCCTCACCATCTGTCATCATAAGACTGTAAAGAGCTCAGTAGAGTTCCTGACTTGCAAGCAGAACCAAATAATATTGTGGGGGTAATTATCTTACCAGACTATCAGGGAACAAAATTAAATATATTTCCTCTGGTAGCCCAAAGTAACTATTGTCATGTTACCTTGGATGGCACATTAAAAATCAGACTAGAATACAATTCTTTAGGCAGAAACTATCCAGGAGCTTCTTTCAGAACCAAAGTATGCCTACAAAATTGAATGATGCAGTTAGGAAAATAAAACCACTTTATCCTGTTAGAAAATGTTTACTGAGTACAATAGTATGTGAAGAACTGTGCTAGTTACTAGGAGTAATAGAGTAAAAAGGAAGATATTATTCTATCTAAAAATATGTAGCAGTGCATTGAAGAAGGTAGATGTGTCTATAGGCATAATAGTTGTCATGATAAAACTGACAAAGATGTTTACAGCTTTGAAAGAAAAAACCACTTAATATGTCTTCAAAATACAGGAAGACCTCATGAGGGTGTTGGCATTTAGCTAAGTTTGGATGACTTAGTAAGATTTCAATCAGTGAAGGAGTATAGGATATAAGCAAATAGTATCAGTTTGATCACAAGGCTTGAGACATGCTCTAACTAATTAGAAAATGTCACTGTGATTTTAGTTTGGTGAGAAGTGAGTCTGTAGAGAGATCAAAGCCAGCCTAGGCACATGAAGATAATGCTGTGGTATATAGGTATATAGGTGCTATGACAGATATCAATTCAGGTCTTAAAGCATATTTCCCAGAATATGCTTTTCCCAGAAAGCTGAGCAAACATATTTGGCTTCAAAAAGTATTTTGAAGAGTTAGGAAGCATTCCAATTAAGTCAAAGAGAATAAATTATAGAATAGAGTCTTCACTGTTTTTCCCAGTATGTAAATTAATAATTAGAAAAAGAACATTTTGGGTCACCTGGGCAGCTCAGTTGGTTGAGCGTCCAACTCTTGATTTCAGCTCAGGTCATGATTTCAGGATCCTGGGATAGAGCACAACTAATACTCTGTCAACAAATATTAAAGAAAAAATTGTGGACCCAAACCCACCATATGTATTCTATATATTTTATAGAAAATATAAATATTTTATAAATACTATAAAATACCTAAAATTTAAAAATATATATAACATACCTAGAACAACCACTAAGATAACAATAGAAAGACCTACACCCAATAGCACTGTTGGTAAATCAAAATTAAATTCTGAAAAAAAAAAAAGTTTAACCAAGAAGTAAAGAACAAGAAAACAAATGAAAAATAGAGACAATGAATGGAAAAAAATAAATAAAATGACTGTCTTTGTCATGAATGCTATTATGCAAATTCCACAACCTCTTTATGAGTCACCTGTAATGAGATAATAATGGGACGTACTTCATAGATTTCATTGAAGAATAAGACAAATTAATAAATGAAAAACACTTAGAACAATGCCTGACATATGGAAAGTACTCAGCATATTTAATAGTTATTATTAATGAACAATATCAAAGACTGCCTTTCTGTGATAGTGAATTCCTCATTTACATCCAGAGCTTGTCACTCAGTTTGGTACAGTGAAATGTAAAGCATTTCACTTAACTGCTGGCTAATTGCAACAAAGCTCAGCATAATAAATATGATGTCTGTAACCTCAGCCTTAAATTCAGGATAGAATGCTGTGCTTGCTTCCAAATAGATGGAAACTATAGTTTAATGCAATAACTACTTACCTTTCTCCATCATTCTTATAACGAGTTTTTACTCTCTTCAGTTATTTGTCGCCTAAAGAAGTTGTATTTGGCTCAAAATTCTTAAATACCTCAGAAATAATACAAAAGTCACATCTTCATTTACCAGCTTTTTTCTTGAAATATATATAATGTAGGAAATTTCAGTTAATAGTTCTAATAAAAACAATAATCTCAAGATCTAAGAATCAACCTTTAGTTTAGAGTGCTATAAATTATTAAGTAGGGAACATCATATAAACTATAGTTAATCTTTACTACAACAATAATAATAACTACTTTATGCCATAGAAACTTAGATTAACCCAGAAGTCACTGAAGGAATAATTATCCATACATTTGTCTGGAACTCTTTACTTAAAAAAAAATTGTATCATAGCTCAAGCTTACCACTCATTAGAAAAGGTATGCATTATTACCTCCATTTAAAAAATGAGTCAAAGACATAAAGAAGTGAGGTGATACACATGGACTTAAAGGGGTGTAAGTTAAATAATCAGATCCATTTATGACACAGTGAAGTATTTAGACCTATGACTAATACATAGTAGGAACATATAAGTATTTATTGAATAGATAGTTAATGAACATGCTAATGAATGAGTGAATTTTATTTTTTGTAAGATCCAGGGAAAGTTAAGATTTATAGGATTTGCATAAAAATTTAGCTGAAATCTGGTCTAGTGAACTTGAGGCTGAATAATGGTTAGTTGGTTCACAACAGAATGGATCAAGCTTTAAAAATGGAAATGCAATTATGTTGTGTTATATAAAGATGAGCCAGGGCCTGCTCATAGGACTGAGTCAAAACTGAACCTGAAGAGTGTCCATAACTATCGCCATTATATTACAGGAACGTGGTATGCGTTGGGTTGGGAGGAAAGCTGGCTGGGCCATGATAGGGTATAATAAAGATAACCTGAGTCTGCCTGCTTGAGGTAGAGGGTGGGAGGTAAGAGTAGAGGCTTGGTAGTGAGTTTGTGGGAATGAAGAACTTGGAGATGTACACTATAGTCCAAAAGTAGAGCTAAAGTCAAATACAGAGGTGCTAATGCTCAAGTCTGTAGTCAAACGGCCAATTAAATCAGAGCCAAAAGCTTAAGAACAGGTTGAAACAGAGGAATGACTTCTGAGTTAATCTAAGTCTCTGTGGTATAAAGTAGTTTTTATTGTTGCTATAGTAAAGAATGAAAGTAGCTCAACCGTAGCCATGAAAGGTGAAGCTTTGTGCAGTGGCAGTATCGTAGGCAATGAGGTTTATCCGAGGCACGATTATTGCTAATTGAAAGGTGAGAGGATGCTTTGTCTTGCTGATTCCTTGGTCTTGAGGTGATCTTGGCAATATCACCAACCCTGTGGGTTCAGACAGTTACATCAATGTTCAGACCATTAAAAACTGAAAAATTTGCCTTGTCTGTGTAATATCTACTAAAGAATAGCTTAAAACCATTAATATAAATATAGTGATCCATTTGTTTTAGCACCTAAGTTCTATTTATTAGAAACGTGCTTTATCATGATAAGGCAGTTAAGTCAGCATGTATCTTTAATTCACACAGACATAATGTTTTGGTATGTATTATAGTAAGAGAAGCCAGCGTATAAATATAGAGAAAATATTGTCCTTGGCCTAAGAGATAATAACCATCAGTACTTCCTGCCCAATATGAGCATTTCAAGTCTCTTTTACAAAGCCAGACAGGCTTTGGGTCCAGGCCAACACACTCTAAACCCTGTAACATTCAATCTTTTCCCATTGCCACACTGTAATATGCAAAAGAAGGATCATGCTTACATTTTCTAATGCCAGCTGGCTGATTTTACTCCTGACATGACATTCAATGCCATGACATCCTATTCTATGGTGACTGAGAAGTAAACAGTCAGTCAGGATGATTGCAAATTACCCATAGAAAGAGCCATTCCATCTATGTTCTTTTTTCTTCAACTAAATTGCTTATAACTTTCTTTTACTGCCATCCTAGAAAAGTCTTCCTATTGTATTAGTTAAGTTCATGTATTAAAAATTATCTGAGGGGTGCCTGGGTGGCTCAGTTGGTTAAGTGACTGCCTTTGGCTCAGGTCATGATCCTGGAGTCCCGGGATCGAGTCCCATGTCAGGCTTTCTGCTCAGTGGGGAGTCTGCTTCTGCCTCTGACCCTTCCTCTCTCATGCTCTCTCTATCTCTCTCTCTCACTCTCTCTCATTCTCTCTCTCAAATAAATAAAATCTTTAAAAAAATTATCTGAATGCCTTGTCTTTGTTGAGAACTATGCTAAGTGTAAGTATATGTAAAATGTGCATTGGTATATAAATATACTAAAATTAAAACTAATAATAGAATATAGGAAGGAAATGATCAAACTTCAGTGATAGAGAATAATGGGATGATGAACGTGAATGAGTCAAAGACCTTGGCATACGAATCCAAAGTGACAAATTCGAAAAGATGTGTATGTGTATGTGTATGTGTATGTGTGTACATATTTTCTATATTTTATGTATCCAGCACCACCCTCTCCACGTTCCACTATCTACCCACGATTTAGGTTTTGATCCTATGTTTGGCAACTTAAGGCAAAGTCAATGAGAAGAAATAGCATACTTGTCTTATTTCCAACACATCTTTAGTGACTATAGTAGCTGCTTCCATTAAAGCTGTTTATCTCATAAAGATCACAGAATGTGAGATTTCCTAAACAGTTATTCTAACCACAGACAATTTTATCTCAATGGTAAGTATTAGCACTCATCACACATGAGTGGAAAGCATACTGCTAGGTACTCTGAAGAACCTAGTTATGGTGCTTAACCTCAAAATTCTATTTACTGGAAAATGGAGGATGATTTTGAAAGTATATTTCTGACTTTCGGTTTCTGGATCCCATGTAAGGAGCTTGGAAATTGCCACTCTGTCTGAACAACAAAAAGCTGAACAGACTGAATAATCAACAACTATTCTTGGAACCGTAAGAGGTAAAGACCCAGGGCAAACCATTGCTCCTAAGGGTGGAGAGACAGATGAATACAGAGAATCACAGCATACTAAAGCAACGACTCACAAGTGAAAACAACTGTGGGAACCAGTGCTAGAGTGGAAAAACGTAAAATTAATTGATAAATTGCTGGAGGCTCAGTGTGGAAGAATCTGAGAGTTAAAAACTCCAGGGGGACAGAATCACAGATATACACTACACTTTTGTGAGTTTCACCTTCAGAGCTTGACTAGTTTCTTGCAGTAAATATTAGAGAAAAATCTCTTCATGCTTCCAACAAGAAGAGGGGAAAACAAACCATTTGAAATAAGCCAGAGCACTGTTCTTCTTAAAGCCTGTACTCCGAAGAAACCAGTTAACTAGAGTCTAACCTCCTGGCGTATTATCAGAGCCTAACCAACCTGGGAGAAGGGAATATTCAACTCTAGCTAACTCTAGACATCCTGTCATACCTAAGGGGATGGGTGGTGGGAAACTGAAAAACATCTGTGGAGCTCAGAGTCCAGAGGCATAGGCTCACTAAAAGACTAAGACCTAATTCCAGGATTATAGAACACTTCCCTTCTCCCCGCACCTTACCACCACGTTACTGAAGGCCTTTTTATAGCATAATAGAAGGCAAAAACACAATTTGAAGAAATAAAGTAAGCATCAGAACCAGGTACAGCAAGGATGTTGGAATTATCAGACTGGGAATTTAAAACAACTGTGATTCATATGCTCTAAGCTTTAATGATAAAGTAGAAGTATGCAAGTACAGATGGGCAATGCAAAGAGAGATGAAAATACTAAGAAAGAAATGTTAGACATGAAGCACCTCATAACAGAAGTGAAGAATTCCTGGGGCCCCTGGGTGGTTCAGTCAGTTAAAAGTCTGACTCTTGATTTCAGCTTAGGTCATGATCTCAGGGTCGTGAGATCGAGCCCTGTATCAGACTCTGTGCTCAGCAGGGAGCCTGCTTGAGATTCTCTCTCTCCCTCTTCCTCTGCCCCTCCCCCCTGCATGTGCACACATGTTCTCTCTCTCTCTCTCTCTCTCAAAGAATGCCTTTGTTGTGCTTATTAATAGACTGGTGATGACTGAGGGAAGAATCTTTGAGCTAGAGGAGATAGATTACTTACTTACTTACTTATTTATTTATTTATTTATTTATTTATTTATTTATTTATTTATTATTTTTTAGTAGGTTCCATGCCCAGCATGGAGCCCAGTACAGGGCTTGAACTCATGACTCTGAGATCAAGACCTGAGCTAAGATCAAGAGCCAGATACTTGACTTAGCCACCCAGGTGCCCCTGAGCTAGAGGATACAGTAATAGAATCTTTGAAAACTGGAAAGCAAAGAGAACAAAATATGGAAAAAAAAATTGGAACAGAACATCAAAGGATTGTGGAACAACTACAAAAGATATAACATGCGTATAATGGGAATACCAGAAGAAGAAAGAGAAAAGATCAGAATAAATATTTGAAACAAAAGTGACTAAGAATTTTCTCCAAGTTAATGTCAGACACCAAACCACAGGAATCTCAAAGAACACCAAGCATGATACATGCCAAAAACTATACCTGGGCATATCATTTTCAAACTATGGAAAATCAAAGATAAAAAATTCTGAATGAAGTTGGGGGTGGAGGGAAAACACCTTACCTATAGAGGAACAGAGATAAGAATTCACATCTGAGTTGTCAGAAGACACTCAAGCAAGAAGAGAGTGGCATGAAATATTTAAGGTGTTGAAAGAAAAAACCTACCAACCTAGAATTCTGAACTATAAAATGATCCTTCAAAACTGAAAGATAGGGGTGCCTGGGTGGCTCAGTCGTTAGGTGTCTGCCTTCGGCTCAAGTCATGATCCCAGGGTCCTGGGATCAAGCCCTACATTGAACTCCCTGCTCAGCGGGAAGCCTGCTTCTCACTCTCCTATTACCCCTGCTTGTGTTCCTACTCTCGTTATCTCTCTCTCTCTCTGTCAAATAAATAAATAAAATCTTCAGCAGGGAGGCTGCTTCTCCCTCTGCCTTCCACTCCCCCTGCTTGTGCTCTCTCTCTCTCTCTTTGACAAATAAATAAATAAAAACTTAAAAAAAAAACTGAAAGAGAAATAAAGGCATTCTCAGAAAAACAAAATTTGAGGGAATTTGTTGCCAGCAGACCTGGCTTGCAGAAATTGTTAAAATAAGTTATTTAGAGAGAAGGAAAATATTATATACTTTAAAAACTCTGATCTACATACAGGGAAGCATCACAGAAGAACTAATGAAGGTAAAATAAAAATTTTTTTCTTAATCTAACAAGTAACATTTTGTCTAAAATAATATACCAACAATGTATTCAATTATGTATGTGTGTATATGATCATTTATAAATGAAATGAATGATAGCAATGGTACAAGGGAATGGGAGTTAGAATTATTTTGTTATTATAAGGTACTTACACTACCTGTGAAGCAATATAGTGTTATGTGAAAGTACACTTAGGTTGGCTGTAAATGTCTATTGCAAACTCTAGGGTACCCACTAGGGAAAATAAAAAAGTGTTACTTCTGTGTAAAGAAATGATTGAAAATAGAATCATGTAAAATCTTCACAAAAAAACCCAGAAAAGCAGTGGAAGGCAAAACTAGAGAGAAAGAACAAGGGAAAAATTTTTAAAACCTTACAAATATGATACATATTAAACCACCTACTTATTAACTACTTTTAATATCAATGATCTAAAGGTACCAATTAAATGAGAGAATGTAAGAGTGGATTAAAAAATAAGACCCAACTATATGTTTTCTACAAGAAACCCACTTTAAGACACATATAAATTAAAAGTAAATGGATAGAGAAAACTGTATCATGCTAACACTAATCAAAGAAAAACAGGAATAGCAATAGCAATATTAATTTCAGACAGAGCAAACATCACAGCAAGGGAAGTAAATCAGGAATAAAGAATGACATTACATAAATGATAAACAGGTCAATTTTCCAAGGAATCAGAACAATCTTTATCATGTAAGTGGCTAACAAAGTAGCATCATGGTTTGTAAGGCAAAAATTGATGTAAATCCAAATAGATGAATCCATTATCAGAGCTGACACTTTGACATTCTTCTATTAGAAATGGACAGATCTAGCAGGCATAAAATCAATAAGAACATAGTTGAATTCAACAATACCATCAACCCAACTGGATATAATTGACATCTTTAGACTGCTTCATTCAACAACAGCAGAAAATACATTCTTCTCAAGTTTATGTGGAACATTCACCAAATAGACCATTTTCTGCATTAGAAAACAACAAATTCAAAGGAATAAAAATCTTACTGGCTGTTCTCTAACCACAATGGAACTAAACTAGAAAGTAAA